ATTCACAATAAACTTATACTGGTACATGCCCTCGAGAAGGCGAAAGCGTGCCACAAAACGCTGGCATGCCGCCGAGCACAAGCTCTGGCTCAATGCACTGCCACTCTCTTCGCAAGGGCAGCAGTCATCCGTTGCTGTTGACGTCACGCCTTCCCTATTACGCACAGTGTCGTCTTCAGAGCTCCTGCTGGCTGTATGGACAATGCACTGCATCACGATCCAATCCTGCTCCTCCCAGCCACAGAACTCTCCAGCAACTCGAACGTCCGCCACCGATCCACCAGCGTCGGTGCACACCCCAGATGCATCTAAGTCGCACACCAGTTCAACGTCATGCCAATCCAGGTCGGCTAGCCTCCAAGCACTGTCATTGCCAGCTGCATTTGATTGCTCCATTTCCTGAGACCTCAGCCGGTTCACAACAGGGTCTCCTCGCGCGATCGTGTGGGTCGTATCTCAGCTCAAAGTAGTAAAATTCAATGTTCTTATTACACCAATATCTATTAGTATTATATTCAACATTTTCGCCAATATCCAGCCGTGACAATGACCTGAAGAATTATTTGATGCAAACCTAGATCAAACTTTTCAGTACTGGAATGACCTAATCTTTAATCACAAGGCCAAGGACAATATCCGAATCCCAGTGCCACAGGCAAGGACAAGCCGCACATTCTGAAACACGGCAAGGTTGATTGTTTTACAAAAGACGGGCATGCTGCAACTGTCTGCGCACCCGCGGAACAATAGCAACTGTCAAGTACATGATTGTACCACAGTTAGTCTACACTGTACTGAAATCCAGTCGATTGACAGAACGTAACGACTTATTTACGTCGTTGCATGCATGCAGTGCACGTGCATGCATAGGTTGAACCGATATGCGACCAGCGCAGGGATGACCAGCGCCCTGGCCCTGGTCTGGGGCCGCTAGACGTGCGACCGGATTTCCATGTCCACAACAACAGTCAGTAGATCTGCTATCTAGTAGACCAAGGTGCTCGAAGTCCGTACACTTTTACAGTGTGTGTTTATTATTATTATTCACACATATCCGCCGGATGAGTACGCGTGGCCCATGCACCATGGGGACCCACGAATACAAACCAGCATATTATGTTCCCTCAGCAATACAAGCAAGCAAGCACGCAAAGATAAATGAGAGCCCAGGCAGCGAAAACAAAACGAAGAGAGATGAGGACATAGGCAACGAAAACAATTCCAAAGCATAGCCAGGGATTGAATGTGTGCATCTGGGTACGACAGTTAACACGGCTAGTGCAGCCGTACAGAGACTGTTTGCCGAGCTGAAACTCACACTAGCAATGATCAATTGCCAGAATCCTGCTCGTGGATGGAAGGTATCTTGTCCAAGTTTGTTCTGAGGCCAGGCTCGATTGAACCAGGCCATCTTTCGATCCGATCTGTTTCTCTGGAGTTCGCTGATTTTTCATATCAAATTTTTGTGTCGCAGAGGGTACTCTAAGTCCGTACTGATCAGAGATGACTCGCAATACACACATATTTCTGCTAATTGCTAACTTGCAATCCCTCGGTAACGACGAAAGCACCGAAGGGATATGTTTGGCATGTGCCTCCACCAGTATTTCTTGCAAAAGCGTAGTTTGTTGCCGAAATGCAAGCTGTTTTTAGTCGGCTCAGAGAAGAAGCAGCTGCGCTGTGAAAACCGCGGGAAAACAGTGGTGGAGATGCCAGGAGTGTCAACCTTTCTGCAAGGATTGGTGGTTCTCTGTAAATTCTTCTCCTCTGGCCATTGTCAGCTCTAAGCTGGCTCTTGATGATTGAGTGAAGGTCTGTTTGACGCTGTGTCCGTTCGAAATCGGTCTTGGCAAAGTTGATTTTTGCAAGAAATGTAACCCAATTTGTATTTCGTATGGACACTCGAAAACCCACTCGCGTGGTATGGGACTTCTGTTTATCGTAGATCCCTGAAAATTGCTACGCGAGGAGAACATATACCACACTGCCCCCTCCATAAAATATTTGAGTCGAATACAATAACAGAACATGACATTATGGGCGTACGAACTTAGGATACCATGTAATGTACGGACTTCGAGCACCTGGGTCTACTACAGTAGTCACTAGTACTAGTAGTAGTAGTAATAGCCAGTATCGAGTGTTAATTTTATTATTACTACTATGTACTAGTACTACTAGTATTCATTTTTTTATTTATTTCCGGTTGTCTTTTTGCTTTGACTCTTGACTTTAGTCTTATACTTCATGATCATGCATGCATGGTGTTGTGAATAAAACCGTTCTCAAGTATAGAGTAGACTGTCCCCGGGGAAAATTGCAATTCCGCGGCCGCGTTTTTTCCGCGTTTTTTGCGATTTTTTAAAAGACCGCGTTTTCCGCGATTTTCCCGCGTTCTTTGAACTTTTTTGTTGCACTACACGTACACACAGTGCACTGTTCGGTCAGCAACGTCTCATCGTGGCGGCTTTTTACTCAAATATGACGAGTGCTTACACCAGAGACTTGTAACTGATTGATTTCACTACATACTCACTGAAAATTGCCGCACATCAATATTATTCACCGCATATTTACCGCATATTTACCGCAAATTCACCGCAAATTATGCCATATTATGCCGCGTTTTTCCCCGCGTTTTTTGCGATTTTTTTCCGCAATTTTCCCCGGGACAGAGTAGACATGGCATTTTACCGTTCACGCTATTTTCGACGGTCGGCCTGTAGACCAACCGTGTTTGTGTGTGTCGACATGGCATTTTACCGTTCACGCGCTAGATCCAACGGTACTCATACCCAACCCCCAAAATACCGTCGGTTTGGTACCGCTTTGGCGATAGAAAGCTCTGTTTAGCGGCGGCGGGCCGGAGAGCGAAACGGTAAGATTCCAACTAGGCCTAGGGTTGCGTCACAAGTCGATCGTTGTATTGCGTCAGGAGTCAGGACGCAGAAGCCGAACTGCAACCGGTTAAACCGTGTCTCGAAAACACACAAAAAACAGTACTGTCAGTGCAGTAGACTCGCCCTCTGTTACAGTCTGTAGGCTACACGCCGACCGTCGAAAATACTCAGCGTGAACGGTAAAAATGCTAACCATGTCTAGTACTGTAAACGGTGAAATAATATAATTATTGCGATGGTCTAATTTCTGCGAAATCCGCGACCGCGTGGAAATCGCGAAATTTAGACAGCGCGAAAAGGAGATCCATGAAAGGTTTAGCAAGAATGCCATTCTGCAATCGCAAAATTAAAACCTCGCAAACCTGTCCGGATTCTGAAAACGCGAACTAAAAACGCCGCTAAAATTTCACGCTTTACAGTATACCTGGTATACAGTAGTACTACTACTAGTAGTGCGCACTCTGCACCATGTTACATGTACCATGTGACATGTCCATGGACATGGTGCACCGGTCCGTGCATCCGCGCGGCGGGCCGCGCCGCCGCGGTATCCGTTGTCTGCTGGTGCTGAGCTTGCCACCTACATCATGAAACTAATACTTGTACATGTACATGTATGCAGATGACACGACACTGTATCAGTGCATCTCTGCCACCGCCAGCATACCCGACTCTGCAGCACAAGTCCAGGAAGCAGTGGACGCCGCCTGTCACTTCGTCTTCGGTTCCAGTGGAAGGTCACCTTCGAGCCATCCAAATCCCAGGCCCTCATCATCGACCACCGCAAGCCTCCACCAGTGGCAGTGCTCTTCAACGGAGTGACTGTTCCTGAAGAGAAGCGAATTAAACTTCTGGGCATAGCATTCGAACCGCAACTTGCCATTGGCGGACTATGCTCGGCCAATCGTCAAAATTATGCTTTTGAATATGCCACAATTATGCCAACAATTATGCTGAATTATGCTGAATTATGCTCGGTTCCACTATGTATTCACGCTGTACATAGAGGATTGAGAAACCACGCATACACACACGCGGCCCCAGGGCTTTCTTACAAAGCTGTATTATGCCCTAAGCACAGAAGAACCTTGACTACCGGTCACAGTGCTCGATACACAGCGTGCAGAGCCTAGTACACACGAAAATCCGGTGGAACAAAAAAAGTGATTAAATGTCTCTACTCACGAGTTTCATGCTGAAAAGTAATCATCACATTCATCAGGAGAGGTGATCCTGATGATTGCTTTTCAGCATGAAACTCGTGAGTAGAGACATTTAATACAATTCAGCTAATGTTACACTCCTAGGAACAAGAAAAACCCAGTGCTCAGTTGTGACTTGCTTCTCCATAATCATGATAATTGTAAGATACTCGGTAACTCCTATTACTGAAGTATTAGAAATTCTCTCAACATCACACTTCTGCAAGTGAATATGGGGGAGGAGGGATTGCGTTGCGTATGCGATGGTCTGACACGATGGCACTGGCACGTGATCAGATCTATCAAGAATGAGTGTTGGCAGTGCAGTGTTGCTCTGCCTTTTTCTGTCCATCTGGTCATGGATTTCAGCACCGCATGCATTGCACTGTCACTGATCAGCGATGTTTGCGGTGGACAATCTGTAGGCAGGTGGACTACGAAGTACGAACTGTCACAGTGTCAGTACTGCAACAGCCCTGTGACTCGCCATCGTGAGCAACACCATTACTAAGTCTAAGGGCATTACATTGTAGTTACGGTATGTGGCAGCTACGCTCTGACGCGTGGCTATTGTGTAGATCTACTCGGTACTGCACTACAACTGAGTAACTCTCTGTCTTGTGTCATCTCAGAGTCTACTGCTATATCCACGTACATGACTTGTATGTCCACGCACTGTGCGTCCTCGCTCGTTGTCACTCCAGTCTCCACTCCGACCAAGAAACTGTCTTCGATCTTTGAGATGTTTGAATCATGATTTCTGCGGAATACATGATTGTGTGGACGGATCACACCAAGCTACAATCGTGTATTTCTTATTATGAGTGGTGAACCTGCACTAGACTGCCGACGCATATGATACATACATAGATCTACTATTATAGTACTAACTCGACGTGAGGTGAGACCAAACACGATGACTGTGTTTAGCCAGCCCACTTTGGTCTAGACGTCTAGGCGCTATCGAGCTGCCTAATGCAAGATACAAAACCTTACCCCTAGCACTAGTGCAGTGGTGCCTTTCTCTTCCACATGGCGCGCTGCAAACAGCATGCAGCTTCGGGAAGAGCTTCGTTTCCACTTCATCACAACCTTAGGCCGCTTAGTTTATCTGTGCTGATACCCAACCTACGCCTAGAACTGCTACATCTAGTCTGCCTCTGGCCAATGAAGGGTGGTGTTTTGTCCCGTAGCCTCCGGCACACACAAACCAGCTGATTTGTGGAGACGTCCCGCTGTGCAACCAGTCAACTTCAGGTTACTTGCGTCAGCCACACATCAGGCTCTCGACTGAAGCAGTGCTGCCTCTTGCCAGTCTTGGCAGCGCAAGTGTTGCCGTGGAGTACTCCAGCCGAAGGAGTTGGAGACAGACTGCTCCGGACCAGCTGATCATAGCTTTCCTCGGCGCTGCATTGCTTCCCGTGCACAACGGGGAGCGTTTTGGGCGTCTGAATCGGGAGTTACGCTAACTTAGTAGGCAAACTTCCTCGATCCTCTCGGCATCCCGGCACGGAACGGCGTCAGCAGATCGCCAAGGCACAGGCGAGGATGGTTTAGCTTTCCCACGACTTCACGTCACGTAGCTCCCAGGACGCCACCTCAAACTATTCGCCCATTGAACGCTGAGCGTGCGCTTGGAAGCGCTCGGAGGGATTGTGGAATATAGGAGAGGGAGGAGGAGAAGGCAATCGGTCTTCACGATGGACCGGGTTACACTTCCTCCGATTGGGAATCCGCAAAGAAAAAAACGGGTGGATCGAAAAGGACATCGACAATGGAAGACAGTAAGTTGAGTGGCCATATGGTGTGTCGATGGTCATTTCCTGGCTAGAGTAGACCCGCCAGAGAACACGAGTCAGCCCTGCTCGCGTAAAACCCCTGAAATAGTTTACAGATGATTATCAGCACTCATGACAAGGTGAATTATTCGTGCTTCGTTGTGGCGAAGTGTCTCGGGTTGTTTCTCTTCATCCGGAATCAATAATTCATAGCCTCTGTGGCTTTTATTTGTCCGGTGAGAACTCAATGAATGAGAAGCGAACAAGTGTACCCCACTTCCCGGTGCAGCCATAGCGCTAGCGATGACAATGTTACACAAGGTGATAGAATGCCGCAGGCTTCTGGAAGTGGAAGTCAAATATCACGCCTGACTTGGTGTGTACCCCCAGGCCTTACTCTCCGAGTTTCTTATCTCCAGAAAACCCTTTGCTGTGTTGCTGTGTTTAGGCAGTGCAGTGTAGTGAGTGGAAAGCGTGTGGATACATGTAAGCCATATTCTGGTGGAAGGTCTGAATAATTCCTGAAAAGGTTATAAAATTATGACTCTTCTTTCATCCAGATCATTGTTTGTACGTGCGGAAAAAAGATACACGTACTCCTACTTGCACTCGTTTCACCTTTCCCAGGCGGGGGCGGGGGGGGGGGATAGAATGATTTTTGTGCGAGGGCTGGAACGCTGATAGCCAGCCATGGCAGTGGGGAAAGTAAGGTTCTAAGTTGAAACTATTGGCAAAAACGTGCGATTTGAAGCAGTCTGCCCCATGCGTTGGCTACAAGAGGCCAAGCCATTGCTTCTCACTGGGTCGTACAATGCCGCGGTCCCAGTGATCAAACAAAGCAATCTCAGGCACATGTACATGTATGTACTGACATCCTGGACCAGTGGACCAGTGGACCAGTGGACCAGTGGACCAGTACAATCCAACCACCATTACCATCTTAGGCAATGAAAAAAGAGTACCTGGTCGTTTAAGTCGTACTATTTATTATTTTACTTGGGTATACCCAACAGGCCTATGGCTTTCTTACAGGGTGCCCAAGGAGAACTTGTAAGCAGCTAGCGCGAAAAACAGGCAGGGTATGCTGTAGAGGCCTGGCCGGGACATGAATGGGGGAAGAACGAGACTACTGAATTTAAAAGATGGTCCAATTAGGATGAGAAAAGTTTACGTTATTCAAGCAAACTGGAAAAGTATTTCCTCCTTCTTTTCGAAATAGTGTGAACAGCGACGTGTCACGTGCTCACTGTCCAGCCCACTGGCTGAGGCTGGCGGACAATCTAAGAATATTTGGGGACACATTCAATCTCTTTTTTAACGTCCAAAATAAAATTCGGGACGACGCTTCACGCAGCTTCACTGTAACAGCAAATCGACGTTTCCTGGCGACTGGCCAACACTTGACCGACTCACGACTGCCGTCTGCAACACACGAGAAGAATGCCGCTGTCCACTCAGCAAACCTGCGTGAATGGAACACATTAAAACGCTCTATCTGAAGTGAAGAACACTGACCATCTCTTCTTTTTTTTATTTGTGGAAAATGGGAAACATTGTAATGGTACGGTAATTTCATTCTACTGTATGATATGTGCCACCTCTGATCGATGGGAGCTGTGAAACACACTCGTCTTCATGTACATAATTATGCATGTGTGGGTATGTTTGCCTCACTTTCAGGATCCTCTCAAGCTTCCGGGAATTCAAAATGGCATAATGACCAGGTCGATGCCATGCACGGGCTGTACAAAGAAAACCTGTAGTTGTCAGGTTGCGGCGAGGAGACGCCCCAGGTATGAAACTTGGCATGGCCAGAAGACCACACAGCTTCACAATGGCCAACAGTCCAAAACAACGGCAAACGACCTGCTGGCCTCGATGGGTGTCGTGTACGGCACCAAGTGCCGCTTGAAGACCCCCGCAGCTCAGCCTAAGAAGACCAGAATGCACCACCACAGGAGCAAGCCATCAAAGGGAGCTGCCGCCGCAAGTCAACCACTGAAGCTCCCTCCGATCCAGACGAATGCCAAGGTCAACCAGGATAGTCACGTTCAGCAAACGGGGCGCCCAGGAGGCTTACAGATCATGACGGGTAGTCTGCCTGATCTTCACCACTACTATTCATGGCTTAACTTCGTCGCAGACCCAGTGCAAAGCGGACCAGGGCAATTCCTGTCCGGAAGACATCCCAATTATTCCCGCCATGGAGTATACAACAGAGCTAAAAAGGTAACCTTCTGTCCTAATGTCTTTCTTCCCTGCAGAACTTAGATTACTGACGGTGTGCGTGCGCTTGTGCATGTGTGTGTGTGTGTTTGTGTGTGTGTGTGTGTGTGTGTGTGTGTGTGTGTGTGTGTGTGTGTGTGTGTGTGTGTGTGTGTGTGTGTGTGTGTGTACATGTCCACAGCCCAATAAACTCTGCTGTACTAAGCGCTCTGCTCAGCTCAGGCTGCATCGACGGAACGTGATTCTGCACTGCCTTCTGTATAAGTAGATAGTTTTGGTATCTTGTATCCTCAGCAAGCATGCCAGGAATGCTCACCGGAGCTTTGTCTGTGCGCTGGCAGCCCCAGTACAGCCAAATAAAGATCCTTCCTAAACACCATCACCACCAAAACCACCCCCGGCAACCCCCGCCCCATCACCACCAACATCGCCGCGATCACCCCATCGGGTAAGGTTTGTGGAATAGAAATATTATCTAAAAGATGTTGCTCGCCATGCCAAGACACAGTCGATGCCAGTAAACACTGTCACGGTTTCCTGTTCTGACCTATCCATACGGTATGCTCAGGTACACAACCGGTATCCTGGACACAGCAGCCGACTCGTACATCAACGCAGATTTTCATCCAGCTTGAGCGCACTGGATGGTGTTGATACGGAGCAAGCCATGCATGAGCAGGCCATGAGTCGCATAGCTAAGCACTACCCCAGCCGACACGGCCCGGTGGTCGACTACTCGAATCCGCTCGGCATTTCGTCGTCGGTGCTGTCAAAGGCCGACGCGGCCACGCGCCCCAACAGTGCCAGCATGGACAGCGGAATGGGCAGCAGCCTGTGCAGCAGCACTGGACTCTCATTGCACGGCGGTGCCGTGTACGGTGCGGCGGGCGGCGGCGGCCATCGCGGCGGCGGAGCAGCCATGCCACCCGCCATTTCCAGCACGGGGTTTTCCAATGCCGCCAGCGTTGCCTCCAGCCTGCATGGTCGCATGACGCGCGACAGTGGCCTAGGAGGTAATGTATATCAAACAAGCATGTTCATATCCTCGAAACTGATCGTGTCTTCACTTTAGTCATTGTACAATTATGTCTTCCATTTTGAGTTTAGTAGAGGAGGCGCTGTATACCCGATCAACCTTCTGCGATGCGATGTACTTCTGGCATGAGATAGGCTAATCTTCGCATTCAGTAGTTGACGCACACATTTCTTACTATGTAGATGACCAAATTTACCATAAAGAACATTCCCTGTACTTTGCTGGAACTGCAGTGGTCATGAGGTGCAAGTTCAACATCCTGATAGGTGTGGGCAGAACCGGATCATCTGGGTCACCCCAAGCCACTGACTCGGATGAGAAACCAAAAATACCCGATCAGGAAAGGTTCGCTAGGTACCTTCGGACCAAGTTGAAATTCACGTCCTGGTACATGCCCATACAGGCAGGTACTGTAGCGGACATGGAAATCCAGTCGATTGACCGGGGCCGGCGCCCTCAGCACGTACAGAACGCTGCGTGCAGTGCACATAACAATTAGGTTGATCCGATGCGACCAGCGGGCTGCAACGCATAAATGCATGTGTGTGTACCGCTTATCCACGGCTGCATGGCCAGCGCCCTGGGGCCGCTAGACGTGCGACCGGATTTCCATGTCCACGACAGTACATACTCAACTGGCTCACAGCTCCAACAATTCGGAACCAATTGTCGTAATTTAATCACCACTGACCCGGTGACAAGGAACTTCTAGCCACATCCCTGGCACTAGCCTTGTCAAATATGATTCCGTCAGATTCGATATTGAAACTTGTGTTGTCTCTCTCTCTCTCTTTCTCTCTCTCTCTCTCTCTCTCTCTCTCTCTCTCTCTCTCTCTCTCTCTCTTTCTCTATTTCTCTTTCTCTCTCTCATTCTCTCTCCCTCCCTCTCTCTCTCTCTCTCTCTCTCTCTCTCTCTCTCTCTCTCTCTCTCTCTCTCTCTCTCTCTCTCTCTCTCTCTCTCTCTTTCTCTCTATCTATCTATCTATCTATCTCCTTACAATCCAGAATTGGGTGTCAGCCCTACGAAGACTTGCTATGGCCAACATGCACGAACACAGCTCCCGGCTATTCCAGCAACATCGTACTCAACCAATGATAAATTGACACACCGGAACACAGTGACCTCTATCAAGACGACTGAGTTGCCCGCAATCGTTCGTCAGCTGAATGGCAACGGTGCAAATAGTCGCGCTCGTCAGGCGAAACACAGCAGACTTAAAGGCGATTTCACTGGTAAGATAATCCAACCTATGCCGTATCACATTCCATAAAGAGCGAACTATTCGAAACGAGTACACAGTGTTGTGCCGTATTTAAAGATGAACTAAATCAGGCATGGAGAGTCACTGCAACACGAAGCTCATTATCTCAGGCTCAAAACCATGCGTTGAAGCATGTTTGAGTTTTTATTTTACGGAGAAGGTATTTTCTGGGCACCATGAGTTTACAGTCAGACCTCGCTTATCCGGTCCTCTTTTATCCAGATCCCTCGCCATCGGGAAGAAAATCATTCGTTACCGATTTACGGCACATGCCATGGATACATATAGCATATGTGTTCGATTATCCGGTTCCCTCGCCTATCCGCATATTTTTGTGGGAAACGGATGTGTGCGGTTATGCGAGGTCTGACCGTACCAGTGAACTCCATCACTCCACAACTCTCTTTATCGCTTCTCTTGTTTCATTCTATAGGCCATGGTTGGCAATCACCTATATCTCTACATTATTGGCAGTTTCAACGACATGCTATGAGATATTGATAGAATATTAATAGTAATAAACAATGCGCACACAGCTGACCCAGTTCACTTGCACATCACAACCATTATGGAATCCAATCGCAAAACTTCTTCTCAAATCACAACCATAGCGAGGAAAATTGCGTTGAGACATTGAAATTGACCATGTCAAAATAGCTATCAATTTAGTATCAAACTCCGATAAAGCAGCAACGTATTGAGGCAACCTTGGTGAACATATCACCCAGTGCCATGATCTACAAATGATCCATAGTGGGGTTCAACTTCATGCATATGAAAGATTTTATCTTTTGGTTGTTGCATCATGGAGACTTGCAAAGCATGTCAGCCCAAAAGCCAGGGCATGTACAGATGTGGCCAAAGAAATTCAACCCGGCGTGAGCTGAAAGCAGCCCCAAGCATCATGAGGCTATTGCGGTGGTCGAATGGGTTTTTGGACTGTGAATGCTCTACAATCATGCACTTCATTTTTGACATGGAAGCGTGGCGTTGCTTTTGACTAGTAGTGGGTCGGATTTGGCCACGACTGCAGCTCAGCTGGAAGAATGCTTGTGCTGCTTTTGTTCATGTTTGTAGAATTCCACAATTGGAGGTCACCCACAGTCATAAACCTCATGCCACTGGATGCAGACGGGAGACGCACGACAATGTCAAACCTGTACGGCAACAGCAGCAGCAACGCACATACTATGCACAGCCATGTCTTGGTGAGTTCTATTCGGCCACTCCTGGAACCTCTGCAGACACTGACGAACACGGGCTTCGGAGCTCAGTATGCACATGTCTCTATTTCGAAGAGCATGTATGCAGGCACACACTCGCAGTAACAGAGAGGTTTTGCAGAGCGAACACTCACATGATTTTTCGTGTCTGGGCTCGCGAATATTTCTGCGAATGCTCGCGCGAAGTTAGTTTGTGTTTTGCATGATTTTCGCTCCAAGAAAAGTTCACGTGCAGTCGCGCGATGGCACTTGTTTGAGAAGTCGTTCTCGGAGCTTCATCCAATTGAGAATTTATTTGCTGCGAGTGGCAGCACCCTGACTCGGCCTGAGACCAGAGCTCTTTGACTACGTTGTCCATGGCCGGAGACTCGCAGACAAACAGGCTGGCCTGTGCCGTAATCCGGCGCATCAGTACCAGCAAATCAAAAAAGCCTCACTGCTGTAGCCGACTCTGAGGCGATGAGCAGGCGGGCGATCGGCCATGGTTCCGGAGATAAAGCAAAATGGGCTGCCATACAGGAAAACTAGAACCTACGGACCAAGCCAAGAGTAGATCTACTGGATTGGGAAAGATGAAGCACAAAACATCGCGTGAGAATGGTTCACCACTGGTCCGCGATCAGCGAAGATTAGTGAGAAAGTTTGTTTTGCGTTTCCTTCAACTTTCACGTTCAAAGCTGTGAACGTTCGCACAAAGGTTCGCTCTTCGTGAGGTGAGACGAAAATTTGCGCAAACGTTTGCTCTGCAGAACGTCTCTAATGTCTGAAGGGTATGTACAGGTTATACCTACAGCGCTGCTGAATGAAATCCGATCATGCTTTACATGTAGTGAATGCTTTACATGTAGTGAATGCCATGCCGGCCGTTGCGTGGCCCCAGACCTGCGAACACTGGACTGTGGACTGGCTCAGGGCGCTAACTTGACTCACACGATCGGATTTCATTGAGCCGCACAGTACTTGAAGTACAGGAGTATGTAGGGTAATTGTTTTCTACTTCAGTACATTTATTAAGTCATGAGGTGGATTGATGGAGCTGTGTGTGTGTGTGTGTGTGTGCGTGCGTGCGTGCGTGCGTGCGTGCGTGCGTGCGTGCGTGCGTGCGTGCGTGCGTGTGTGTGTTGATCTAGAAGATTATAATCAACTGGAATGTATCACCAGGGGATTTCCCCCGCTTAATGTCACTTGATAACATCTGGACAATACCGTGCAAGTAAATTGAAAGCAGAAATTATGGCGATAGTTTCCTGCATATGTCTTTGTGCTAACTTCAGGCATCGGCCCAACACTACAGTGCAGCTTACATGCTAGATGCGCCAATGTACATGCCACTTGAGACACAGCTTCTAAAGACATATCCACAAGGAAGACACGAAGGCACGCTCAAGAACCCAGCTGCTCTCCCAGTCCAGCAGCACTTCGACCAAGTGAGTGAGAACACCCGACAGGCACTGACCTCGTCATTGCCCTCCATACCAACTGCCAACACAGCAGCAGTGAAGCCTGAGCGAAATGTACAGCTGGACAAACGGGGAAAGGTTGACCCGAAGCCAAGGGCAGAGCGATGCCGTTCAGCACAGGGGAGAGTGCGTGTAAAGGCAAGGAAAGAAGCTAGCATGAAGAAGAGCAAGTCGTGTATATCTGTAGTGAACATGCAGCTGGGAGGCTATGGAACACCACTCATTGTGTCGCAGAGTGGCAGGCTACCCCAATCGACAGCCACAACTGTTGACACGGAGCTGAGGTTTGTGGTGAGTTCATCCATACGAATTTATTATCACACTAGCTGAAAAAAGCTACGTTTGGGCCTGAATGGGTTTTTCTGTGAACGTCTTAGAAGTTGCGACTTCGGCGGTAATAGCATGAAGTTGATTGTTCCAACTAGAAATACACGCTTCTAAGCTTATCACTTATAAGCTTATCACAGCTTATCACCCGGACGTGCGACTAGTTGTTGGAGGTGACAGCGTTGCGAATAGCTATACTGGCTCTAAACGCCTGTTTATCACAACTCCATGAGCGACTCTGACTCACGCTGCTACCTGGAGCTTCACGAGGTGTTTGTCGCGCTGGAAACAAAGCGTCTCTGTAAGTTTGTATCCCTGGTGATGGTTTGGCCTGGAGAGCAGTATAAGTGGTGCTTTTCAGGCACAATCTTCCTCGGCCTACTCAAGCTCAACTGATGAGGGGTGAATTCCCCGAAACACCGTGTATTGAGCAGGGAGTGGTGCTTTCTTGCAGGTTTGCCGAGTGAAAGGTGCGACGTGCTCCTCGTGTGCTCCGGATGGCAGTCGTGAGTCAGTCAAGTGTCAAGTTCGGCAAGAAGCGTGTGTTTCTAGTTGGAACAATCAACTTCATGTCATTCTCCATGCTTTCGGAAAGATAATATTTATGCGATAGCCTCCCCCCCCCCCCCCTCCTCCCTTACACACAGGCACAGAAAGAAAGACGCCCGTACACACACACACACACACAAACACACACAAACACACACACACACACATATACTCCCCACTTGCGCATCGGTACACTCTCATGCATGCACGAGAAAGTTTGGAGTCTGATTGCCGCGAGTACTGTGCGGGCCGATTGTTTGCCGCTTTTATGAACCCGGCCCTTAACCAGACCTGTGCTTGCATGTCATCATTTGGATATCAACCTTTGCTGTACTTGACTTAGCGTAAGCGGCTTCTGCCGATGCGAATTCAAAGAATATAATGAGGAAGTAAAGAACGGTTTTGTTTGTGTCATTTTCTTCACCACCCAGAATGATGTACACATACGCCCCATCGACCAACACCATCACCATCATCATCATCATCATCATCCTCCTCAACACCATCACCAACATCAGCAGCCACGCAAGCAGCAGCACGGTCAAAAGCAGCAGCACCAGCTGAAAGCTGCTCCCACGGACGCTCTCTCTACGGTATCCTCGCATCATTTTCTAGGAAATATCGGAACCGACCCGCAGGTGGTGGCTGCGAGAAAGCATCACCATGGCAAGCTGATGCACAACCTCAACCATCGTGCGGCCGACACTTCAGAACAACATCAGGAGCAGCAGCAGGAGAATGACCTGCCCATTCCATTCGACGAGTTGCCACCGGATCTGCAGCAGCTGGATAGGGACTTTCTTGTGTTCCTGCTGAAAAAGGCTGAAAAGCTGCTCCTGCAGAATAGCAATCGGGATCGGAGCGTGGCACGTAAGTTTAGGAAATATATATTCTCTATTATAAGCGCCGTGCTTATATTTTTTCAACACCCCTCTACCCCGTGCTTATATTGGAGACCGCGCTTATATTGGAGACCGTGCTTATATTTTTTCAACCAATACATCCATACAGAGCAAGAAGAAATACATGCTAGATATTATGCATGCAGCACTGATTTCCACAAAGGCCGTGCTAGTAATAGAGACTGTGCTTATAATGTTTCGAAAGGTGCTCACAGTGTGCTAGTATTAGAGACTGCGCTAGTAATGGAGACCTGTGCTTGTAATAGAGAATATACGGTATATACAATGACATAGAGTGGACCATCATTACATAAGCTCAACATCCCAAACGCTGCATGATAGTGTCTAACATACATTATTGTTATCCATGATTCCAACCATCTTCTGAACATGGGTTTGGTATTTTTTCAGCAAAATAGCTTAGCAACAGATTGTTTTCTGTGTTCTCTATTCTGTTCACCTGTACAGTTACGCAGAATCGAGCCGCTTTCATCGACACCGTCAAGATGATACTACAAGACATGGTGCAAAGCGCCGCCGCACCACAGCAGACCAAAGCAACCAAAACCGGTGCTCACCACCTGAAGAACGAGGCAACAGCCTTGTCGTTGGCAAACATCGATGCAGCGTTGCCTGGTCAGCATGCTCCATTGCCCGACTGGCATTGGTACAACAGACTGATGGATCAGCAGCGCAAGCAGCAAGCTATCACCACCGCCGGTGCCGCTCCCACAACTAATCACGCCGACGTGCCACCCGCAGAAGCACACGACCTCAACTCCCTCAGGGTGGTGGGAAACCAGTTTGGCACGGAGGTCCTTGCAAAGAGTAGAGCGGAGCGCAGCAGACCGGAGAGGCGTAGGGGCAAGGTGAGAGAGGCTGGTGGCGACGACAGCTACGGATCCGGTACTGACTACGACAGCGATGCCACCAGTGTCTACCAAGGTGATGAAGGAGCAGCTGAGCGCTTGACGAATGGCCGCCGGATGGGAGAAACCGGAGGTGGGTTAGCGTAACATGTAGCGTTCTGTATAGTGGCCAAATTGTCCAGCTCCCCTCAGCTATCTCAAATCCCAAAATAACAGTGGACTTTCTGGAGACACCGCTACTACCCTGTACATGCCGTTGTGTGCATAAGTTGTAATCATACATGTACGTGTTGTATGATTGTGTTGCCTGGTAATCACCTATGGGTAGAACTTGGAGTCACCTGGAGGAATGAATATCTCTATCCCTAGGGTGTACATGTAACTGGTGATCATGGGTGCCTTGTCACCCGCATCATGCCTGAATCATGTATGTGTCCTCCTGCTTGCTCGCACAGGCGATAGCGACCACTCGGGATCCACGGGAGAGCACACGATTGCCGCTGATGTCAGCGACAATGAGTCAGTTGTCGCGCCGGCGAAACATAACAATGTGCGGCTTCACTTGGAAGGCAGGACACCACCTGGGAACTCCGGTGGGCTAAGTCCAATGCCCGGGGACGACAACATTATGTTGACAAAGTCACTTCCAGCGCTGGACAAAGGTGAGCGACTAACTGCATTGACACAGTACAGACGGCGCATTGTGACGTCTTGCTTGAAAAGAGATTCACATCATACTCTGCTGATTGCAACCCTTGTGAAGCCCCTTGTGGCTGGTACACTGTATCACGAGATCATGTCATGTGTTCACGGTCCGGGTTTTTTTACACAGGGATGTCATTTTCTGCGGTGGAGTGTCTTTCGAGGTCATACACATAATTTTATCAATGCTGGGTGTATGTGAAATGGCAAAGAGAATAGAGTAGTCCATAATGAATTCTGATCTTAGGAGCAGGATGTGAGACCTCATGTTACAATGAGCTCAAGATTGGAAGGGAGATGCTCATATCATCTATCCCTAGTTGCCTTTGTCTTCCCCACAGTGTAGTGGCATTTGATCACAGATGGGTCTCCTGGGGTGGATATGAATTTTGCTCCTTCTGGTATTCAAGCCCACCGTGCAACCTCATGTTTAGAAGGCCTACGTTCCAACCAATGTACGAACCACACACATATTGCATGTTCCTTTGCGTCCATTATGCAGACATCAACCCTTCGGAGCTCATGGCCAAGTTCCGTAGCAACCTGGCTGACTTGGACGCTGAACGACTTCAAGTGACTGGCTCTCCAGCCTCGTTCACAATGGTGTCGCGGGCAAGCAGTGCAAACAGGTCTCGCCGAAACTCAGCAAAAGCATTGCAACCTAAGCCTCACAAAAGGGGAGTGGAGGAAAGCAACGTGCAAGATGGACGCTACAAGAACAACGCATCAACGGCGCATACCGAGGGTGCCACTCACCATGATTCCAATGACTCGGGCGTGAGCGGCTCGGACACTGCTCAAACAAGCCACAACAGAGCTGGTCAGAGAGGAGCACACGGTGCACATGATGGTGATCATGACAGCAGTGATAGTGATGGCACACAGCACGGTGGAAACATGCAACGACACGGCAAGGACGCCTCGTTGCAGTTCACTACGCCATCGTCCCCATCGTCACTCGATTCAAGCGGTACTGCAGGCCATAATGCGGACCGTTTTGGCAATGCGTTGCCTCATGGGATTGCAGGCAAATCAGACAGAACATTAGCTGGTGATGGAAAAGGCAGAGCTGGAGAAGGCAAGGACGGCAACAGTGAACACACCGGTCAACTGAACAAACACTCTACTGATTCCAACACAGAGCAATCTGGAAGAGGGGGTCCCAGCTCAGAAAATGACACCTCCGGCAAAGGAGAGAACACAGGCTCAGAACGTAACCATGGAAACGATTTCAGTGGTTCAACCGGAGCTGATCAGAGACACGGTGAGCAAGATGCTGTGGGAAACGGAGGAAAACTTCGAAACAATGGCCAGTATCAAAACGGAGATCCACATCTGAGGAAAGGTCGATTTCAAAACGGAGAACTTGGCGACAAATCTTTAGGTTCGGATCAGCACCCGCCCGGGAATGCACTACCCGATGGGCATGGTGCGGGAACTCATCACGATGGTAAAGGCATCCAGGAAGGCAATGCAGGTGTTGGTGGCGGTGGAGGAGCAGCGAAGGGCAACAACCGTAGGCCGCATACCGATGCTCTTTACAGAGGTGGCGAGGAAGCAAGAGGTACAGACGGGAGCGGAAACAACAGACGGCACGGTGGCTCGGACAGCGAGGACCGTCAACTGCTGGTATCTGGAATGGGCAGCAGAGCTTCCAGCCGAGAGCAAATTTACAGACGGCCAAGTTCCGACTGCAGAACGGCTTCTCGTGGCTCAAGGCAGCGCCATCGTCATCGACCAGCCGATGGGAAAGTAGTTCCTGTAATTCAGGTATTAGAAGAGGGCGATGAAGAGTTTGTGCCAACAGGAGAGGTTGACGGTGATAATGATGTAACAATTACGGTATCTTCGCCAGAAGGTGATCAAGACCTATCACCTGAGGAAAATGAAGACAAAACCCTCCTCAGTAATCCAGTACGTGACTATTTAGCCCAGAAATCCTGCCCGAATTTCGGTGCTGCCGCTGCGTCAACTGAAAAGGGCCCGCGCGGGAAGGAGAGTCCCGAGCAAGTTCGACAGCGGCTCATTGCTGGTGCGATCAGTGAGAGTAAGCTGTTGGATATGTTTGGTCGCAACCGCTTCACCAGACCATACACATTCTCATACTTCCCACTATCTGATCAAGCGTACCAGCCCCCGCCTTAGATGCAGACTGAGTATACTAGAAATCAACTGACCGAAAGCTCTAAATCTCACCACCATAGATGCACACACACACAAACACACACACGCGCGCGCGCGCGCGCACACACACACACACACACACCTGTCCTGTCCTGTCCTGAACATTGCCGTAAAACGGTCCCATGTCCCCTCATACGAGGGGCCGACAGACACACGGGGTAGGTCGTTAAATACGGTACGCAGCACGCTCCGCAGGCTAGCGGCCAACGAGAGTTCGGGTATACTTTGCGCAGCTGTGGAGCTGGAAACCCCTCTTTGATCGGCAGCACCTGCCACATGTGCTGCACACATACACACACACACGCACACACACACCTGTCCTGCCACTGCCACAAGGGTCACGTGGCACACATACACACACACACACACACACGCACACACACACACACACACCTGTCCTGCCACTGCCACAAGGGTCACGTGGCACACATACACACACACACACACACACACACACACACACACACACACACACACACACACACACACTTCTACTACTATGTACAGCTACCCTATCGGGCCAAGCCGCTCCCAGAAGCGGGAGACGACAAGAAGAGAGAAGAGAGAGAAATCGCAAAGTCAACAGAATTGGGCATGGCGTTGCACCAAAAAATACACACACATACACACACACATGCATACACACGCACACACACACACACACACACACACACACACACACACACACACACACGTACACACACACACAGAAAATGACCAACTCCACCAAAATATCCCCCTGATCCTAAATCGGATCCCAAAGTTATAATTAAATGTTCTTCCTGTGTCCGTTCATGCGCCACTTTACTTCTTTTGAATCAAGAGAAGCTCCCTTTATCACATGATACCTGTCGGTTCTCCAAACTATGGAATTTAATTTTTTCATGATATTTCTCACAACCTGTTTCTGAAGACAAACTCCTAACTATTTATCATTCTATAGCTGCCATAAAGAAATAGCACACAACACATTTCAGTATGACTAATAACTGCACTAGTCTGTGCACGAAGCAAGTTTTTAATTCTACTCCGAATTATAAATTTCGATCATTTCACATTCCTAGCATGATCTCTCATCAGAAATTCTTTCAGCAATCTCAGCCACTTTCTCCATTGAGGATACACGACACGTATACGTGTGTGCAGTCCTGCTTCAGAGTAGTAGAGACTACTACTGGTTTCTTCACAGCGATCTAGCGAGTCACTTGCCCTACTGTAATGTAGTAATGCATGCTGGACTACACTCACTGCCGTGTGTAGGCTTGGGGACGACACAAAAAAATATTAATGAACGTTGGCGTTGCATCGCCCTTGGCTTGCAAGCTAAAAAAAGGAAGCAGTGCTGGACGGAGCAAGTGAAACTCTGCTGAATGCTGTCACTTGCATGCATGAACATGTTTGACGATATGCATGTGCGTGTGCTACTGGGGAATTTGATGCTACTACCATGGGTCACTGAATGAAAACAAACCTTTGAGTTTTCGTAAAACGTTGCTGTTGTGAGGGCAACGCTACTTTGCAGTGGACTCACGGCCAAGAACTCAAGGACACCAGTTTTTAACAATGTCGCCAATATGTTTATGAAAGCTCTCTAAACCAGTTCTTAGTTGCAGAATGCAGCCCATAGGACAGTGCTATGTGAAACTTTTGGTCTGAGGAGGAAAATATCTAAGAGTTGCAGTGAAAATTGTGGGTCTGAATAGAAATCTGTGCCTATGGTAGAGAACTCCCGGCTCCCTCCCGAAACATATTGAAATGTCTTCAGATATTGAAGTATATCGAATAACATGATACATCTACAATCTTCATGTACATAATTATCATGAACCCAGAGTGTGGCCAAAGTGCTAAAATATCACAGCGGCATAATAATGTAAAAACTGATAATCATACTGAGCCCTCGTAGCACATGAAAAATAGCTAGACATGCACTGGCAGCAGTTCACGTCACATGAGAACCATGGCCTCCTCGTACATTCCACTGCTGAGCAGAAATGCGTAGAGGTCGTTTCGCTGGCGTCCGGCCGCAGCCCACATGGATATAATGTACTTGGCCGGCGACCGTTCACGCTCACGTCGCCCTATGCCCAGAATGTCATCGTCACTCAGGTGGTGAACGTGATGACGAGCCAGCAGCCTCCAGTCATGCTCACCTGCAGGATACCACAACAGAATGCTGATGTTGATCTCAATGACTAGATACTTGAAAATAAAATGTAATACAGAATTTCATCAGTGCATCCAGTACGGTTTTAATTTCGTTCCTTTGAAATAGATTTTCTCGACAGCCAGATTTTGTAGTCATGGGTGAGCCAACTTTCTTATAAAGTGTATTTCTGTTTGGGGCCTGTCTTCTAGCTTCTAGCACTAAGCAGGTTTGTAGACTTCGCACAAGCTGACCAGCGGTGATCTTTACTCACTAGAAACGTCAACTAGTTATAAATTTTAGTGACTCGTGACAAACTTCAAACTGATATTTTCATGACGGTGTTTTTACTGAACTCATACCACCGTATCAGCTGCTCGTGAACTTTTAAAAGCGTAGGATTTCGAAAGACATAATCACAAACAACCATTGTCCTGCATGCCATGAAACACTTGAACGAATTATTCGAATTCAAGGTTTTTACATGTACATGCCGGGGGTCTCCATGTGATGACTGCATTGCAATGATCTCTACTACCAGGTATGATAATATATGTACAGGCATAGGCATGCAAACTGATCCCAATCTTCGATGTGTCCACAGAACACCGCTATTCATAGCCGAGTAATGCTATTAAAATCATCATTGAGATGCTTTGGCAAAGTCGTGGCACAGTGATGCACAAGCTGCCTCACGCTGTATATGTAATACCCAAAAGCAGTTCTGCTGACTTGCACTGCACACACAGCGACCATAAGCTCTTCTGCTGACTCACCATTATGACAACATTCGCAGAAGCTCTTTACCGAGAGGTGTTGAAGGTACACAAAGTTGACTATTTTGGTATACTAGAACTCCCTTATTCAGGCAATCTGGGTCCGAGCACTGCCCCGCAACTAGGAATTGACCACAACTCAGAACGTATACTTATTGAGCCTGACTAATAATTTTTATGCAAAGCAATAGTTCATGTCTATGGGCAAATTTTTAGGACTCTAGTTGTGTCGGAAATGTCAAGTGGCCGGAAGAGGGGCGTCCGGAAAAAGGGAATTTACTGTATACCACTCACCAATCTTCTCGTTATCAAGTTTGTCACACAGAGCCATCAGCACTGAGAACGGAAGGTAGAACAGGCCCTGCTCAGCGTCTTGACATCGCAGCGGCAGCTCTTCGCAAGCCGTGCCTCCGTCGGTGTCATTCTGCTTTGGGCACCTCCTCAGCCCGCTACATCCTGAATGCAGGGACAACATGAGATCACGAGTGCATCAACAACGACAGCTAGGACTATTTGCTTGTGTCATTTTTGCATGAGGAGTTATGATAAGCCAATGTCGCGTGTTCTCCTTCATTCTCCGAAGCACGATTCCTACGAGTGTCTTTGAGACAGGAGAGCACTGATGGTTAGCTCAGGAAATGCTTTGACTGGTTATGACCACCTACCTATACTATTAGGGCACGAAGTTGCTAGAGGTCTACGTGAAACAAATCAGACTGATTACTTGTCCTCCTATTCCCCTCAGTCATGATGTGCAATCTCCATCCAAGCTTTACTACGTCAACATGGTGATGCATTGCATTCGGACAACACAGGCCGGCGTGCCATCCGGCTATAACGTACAATGGAGCTAGTATTTGCAGCAGGCATTTTGTATGTCTGCCAAAATGGAAAATATGGCATCCTTGTACGTGTATGGCAATTTGAGATGATCACATAAATTGGAAGGAGGTTTCCAATTCCATATCCATCTGGATATTTTATTCCTCAGTTGATTGGTGTAGCCTAGAGACTAAAAGACTGGAGTGAAGATTAACGGATATTGTGGATGGCGAGAGTGGAGTCTTTATGTATCTTGAGAAATGCCACCAGTACAAGCCATCAACAACGCAGACACAAGCACCATTTCTGTGCGGCAGTGTTGGTTAGACTCAGAGTCTCTGGGTTGGTCTGTACTGTCCCCGGGGGAAATCGAGGAAAAAAATCGGAAAAAACGTGGCATAATAATATTATGGCAAAATTTGCAGTGAATTTGCGGTAAATATGCAGTGAATATTATTGATATGCGGCAAGTTTGCAGTTGATATGAGGCAATTTTCAGTGAGTATGTAGTGAAATCAATCAGTTACAAGTCTCTGGAGTAAGCACTCGCCATATTTGAGTACAAACCCCGTTAGTCCTGAAGCGATCATTTCCCCACTGTGTGCTCCACCAGTGGAATGCATTGCCCTGTGATCTGCTCCTGCATCCTCCCCATCGCAGCCGAATGCAGGCATTCAAGACGCAGGTATACCGCTACCTGCGCGCCGAGAACTGGATGTGGGCCACTGAATCAGTCTAATCGCACCTATCTAGTATCTACATGTAGGTGTTGCTCTCTTTTCCTTGTTTTCTCTACTCTCTGTCTCTCTCTCTGGTCTCTCTCTCTGTCTCTCTTTCTGTCTCTCTGTCTCTGTCTCTCTGTCTCTCTCCCTGTCTCTCTCCCTGTCTCTCTCCCTGTCTCTCTCCCTGTCTCTGTCTCTGTCCCTGTCTCTCTCTCTGTCTCTCTCTCTGTCTCTCTCTCTGTCTCTCTCTCTGTCTCTGTCTCTGTCTCTGTCTCTCTCTCTGTCTCTCTCTCTCTTTTCGCTATATACTTTTCAATCTTTTTTTTGTTTCTCTTCTTCTCCCGATTTTCTGATGCGTGAAGTAGGCGCGGATGCCGAGACCATTGGTCGGCGGAGCCTGCAGCACCCCATCACCACCGCTGCGTTGCATTTGCAGCCCCATTCAGTCAATGTCTTGTTAGTCTGTTGTTTTGTCATTTCCTGCTTCTTTCTTCTTTTACGAATTGGGTGCGTGGTTTCAAGTAAAAAAAAGAAGAAAAAAAGCACAAGGTAAGAATATTGGAACAGTGCCCAATTATGACATACTGAGTCATATACAATGTAAAACGAAGACAAACACTAACAAACGGAGAACGTTCCAACAGTCATGTTACAACATTCAGATCTCTCCTATGATTCTCTTTCTCCTGATCGGTGCCGCTGTGACCAGTTTTGGTAAGGGTTATACAAGCCTGCATCTACCGCTACTGCGAACACGCCGTGACATTCAAGTCAAGCATGCTTTCATCAATCAGTTAATTTTGGTGGGGATTTGCCTTGCTCAGAAAGGGGCAAGGTGTGTGTGTGTGTGCGCGTGTGTGTGTGTGTGTGTGTGTGTGTGTGTGTGTGTGTGTGTGTGCGTGTGTGTGTGTGTGTGTCAGCCTTGCAAGCTGTTGAATGGTGTAATCCCAGCACAAGTTGCTATGTCTAACATAGCTGTTCGCTATCATCGCTTCCGCGATGGGCATGTCTGAGGTCTGAGGTGTGTGTGTGTGTGTGTGTGTGTGTGTGTGTGTGTGTGTGTGTGTGTGTGTGTGTGTGTGTGTGTGTGTGCAGTCATTCCGTTTCACAATGCAGTCACGCGGCTGTTTGTCCGTTTTATTTTCACAGTCTCCAGGGCTTGGATATTGCACCAGATTCGATTGGCCGAGAAGCGTTTCTGGCCGTGTTCCTTCCAGGACGTGTTGATGATACGATGAATGACACTCAGCACCTGTGTAACACATACAAACAAGATACGCGTAGCACACATGTACACACACACACACATACACACATGCGTACAGACACACATGCACACATACAAACAAAAGCATTCACTTGCATCTGATGTCAGGCGTGTGTTTATGTGTGTGTATATGTGTGTGTGTGTGTGTATGTGTGTGTGTGTGTATGTGTGTGTGTGTGTGTGTGTGTGTGTGTGTGTGTGCGTGCGTGTGTGCGTGCATGCATGAGGCTACCTTCTTGCCAAAGCATTTGGAAGATGAACTAGTTTCGGCTTCGTAATCCAGTGTGTTGCTACTCTTTCATGGCTGAGGTTGTTGGGAGTCTGTTGGCCCTGATTTACCAGTACTCAGTTGCCAAGACTGGTTGGT